TATTTTGGACTTGGGGGACCGGGAAAGCATGTAGGCATTGTCGGCCTTGGTGGTCTTGGTCATGTGGGTGTTAAATTTGCCAAGGCTTTGGGAAGCAAGGTGACTGTAATCAGCACCTCTCCTAGCAAGACGAATGAAGCTTTGGAACACCTGGGTGCAGACTCATTCTTGGTCAGTCATGATCAGGAACAAATGGAGGTAATTAGCTAGATCAAGACTTGCATTATTGCACCGATAAGATCTTAGTAGAATTGTTACTCACTAACTGAAACCTTAATTTGAGGTCTAGGTCATGTTCAAGTTTCTGGATTACTAAGTAGCTAATAACCAATATACAAAAAAAAAAAAAAAAAAAAAAGGTGGTGGGGGGCTTGCATTTTGCTACCACATTCATATGATCAACAATTCCCTGGTTCATAAGAAAACTTTTGACTAATTTAGATGTTTAAATCAAAAATTAGATGGCATAAGCTACTGATATCACACAAGAAATATTCCCAAGGCTTGGCAAAACTTTACCTGCAGGGTACTGACATTCTTTAATATGGGATTGAGTAGGCTGCAATGAGTACCATGGATGGAATCATAGACACAGTCTCTGCTGTTCATCCCATTTTGCCACTAATTGGTCTCTTGAAGCCCCATGGGAAACTAGTTATGGTGGGTGCACCTGACAAGCCACTTGAGCTACCTGTGTTTCCAATGCTGCTGGGTAAGTTTATTGAAATCATTTAGAAAATCGGCCCTATATTTTTTTTTATCTATTTTCCCTTTAGCTTTGGTACATGAGCAAAAAAAGCTAATGAAGTACCTGAATAAACAGGAAGGAAGGCAGTGATTGGAAGCAACGCTGGAGGGCTGAAGGAGACACAGGAGATGATAGATTTTGCAGCAAAACATAATATTACAGCAGACATTGAGCTTATCTCCATGGACTACGTGAACACTGCTATGGAACGACTTGAAAAAGGTGATGTCAGATACCGATTTGTCATTGACATTGGGAACACCTTGGCTGCAACAAAGTCTTGAACCTCATTTGGTGTCTCCTGCATCATCATACAAAGGACTTGAACTTCATTTTGGTTTGCTGAAACAGAAATATTAGCATAATAATAAAGCATATCTCTTGCTATTCCTGAGATAATTACCCATCAGCCATTCAACACATTAGCAATTCGGTGAAGTCTCTCATAGAAAGAGAAGACTCAGATTCAAGAGACAACTTCTCAGCTGAGCTTTATTACGAACACCTAGTGTGCATAAAAATACATCTAAAAAAGCAAATGAAAAGATAGCAAACATGAGACAAGGAACATGAAAATTACTGCTATCAGACCAGAAAATAGCAAAGATGCATTCACAAACCCTTATAAGCACCAACTGTCTCAGCAAAAATATTCATTTATTTATTTATTTATTTTACACAACCATTCGGATAGATTTGAAAGAAACACAATCATGAGTGCAAATTTGTCAGCCAATCTTATTGGTTTAATTTCCATTTTAGTTCCTAAATTTATATAGTAATACCAAATTGATCCCTCAATTTCTTTTTCTCTTTTTGATAAATGAGGCAAAGATAAAAAAACTTAAGGTCTGGGGTAGCTAACCCCCACATAATCTGCAGTAAATAAGAGATCCACCGCCGGTGGATAAACATTCAAAATTCTTAAACCATGGGGGGCAAAAACCCCCTTTTTCGCAAGAGCGTCTGCAGCCATGTTAGCCTCTCTCAGCACATTCTTCACTTGAACTTGGGGGATCATGTGCAAAAGGGCCCTGCAATCCATAATAAGAGTGCTATAAGGGTGGAACCTGTTGACAGTACCAGTCAAAAGAAGATAAGCAACCTGACAGTCAGTTTCAACAATAACAGAGTGGAAGTGATGAGAAACAGCAATATTGAGACCATCCCTAATGGCATATAATTCTGCAGCAAGTGCAATAGTAGGGCCAATATTGTGTGGTCCCTCAATTTCTTTGAAGAAGGTTAAAATCGGAGATAAGGTGGGTTTGGGAAGCCTAGCTGGCTCATGTGGTTCATGCGAGAACTGTGTTGATGACCTTGTAAGTTGCTGTCCAGAAATGATTCCCTCCTACAATGGCATTTATTGTGATGGAGCAAAGACATATGGAGGCTACTCCGATTTCATGGTTGCCAATGAACATTTTGTTGTGCAGATCCCTGATAGCATACCTCTTGATGCTGCTGCTCCGTTGTTCTGTGCTGTAATCACAATCTACAGCCCATTGAAATATTTTGGTCCTGGGGAACCTGGCAAGCATGTAGGCATTGTTGGACTTGGTGATCTTGGTCATCTGGGTGTTAAATTTGCTAAGGCTTTGGGATCCAAAGTGACTGTAATCAGCACTTCTCCCAGCAAGAAGATTGAAACTCTGGAGCATCTTGGTGCTTACTCATTTTTGGTTAGCCATGACCAAGATGAAATGAGGGTAATTAGCTACATCAAGACCTGCATTTCTCCCATGCATTTTCTACCA